TGACGCAGGACCCACCTCACGCCCGTTAGGACGGTCATTGGAAGTGGGCGCCCTTCCGCCCCTCCTGTTTCGCGAGCTTTCGCCCCCGCCGGCGCTGCTACCCCCCCCCCTCCCCTGGCTGCCGGCGGTGCTTGGCGGCAAGGCAGTGCCCGGATTCGACGAGCTGCTGGAGCGAGGCATTTCGCCCGTAGGGGTGGGTCTCCGCGAAAACAGGCGGTGCCGGGGGCGGCGGCGGTTGCGGTCGCTGCTACCGACACCTCAGCTTAGTCCCTGTCCACAAGCACATGCAGAAGACAGAAACGAGAGAGCGACGTGGCGCGAGAAGACGCCGGGAGATGCATTAGCATATCGCTTGGAACCCGTTGCGGGGAAATTCATGGCCCCCTCACGCCGGAGTTTTGGCAAGTCAGAAGCAGGGAGCAGAGGGAGTGAGGGAAGTAGGGTGGGGGGGGAGGAGAGAGAGAGAAAGAGAGATCGCACAATACACCCAGCATTCACACGCACGCGCACCCTTCCACTTACACCCCTCGAGGGCTGGAATCTTCTGATTGGTCAGCTGGTACAGCGGGGTCGATCGCAGCACCACGACTTCCAGCAATAAAGGAGTGTGTGGCTTCACCATCTCGGCGTTTGCAATCCTCCCTCCGCTCTCTCCTCTCAAAAACTAGACTACACAGGGCACCGTGAAATGAAGGCTTTTTGGTGTTCATGTAAGAAATCTACCGCCTTGTGACCACGGGAATCGACCGCGTCAAGCGATAGATTATTAATAGTACGGACAGATCAAGGCACTGAATAGATAGATCGGAACGGTTGTTCATAGGAAGACAACAACAACAACAACAACAACAACAACAACAACAACAACAACAACCGCCTTGAAAGGATTGCCAAAGGATAACCATTGTGATGTTCTGTGTTCCCGGCTCCTGGTTGTTCTATAGCATAGGCGTGAAAAGAGGGAATCTTGCTCGACGGGCATTGGGGAATCTCCACATTTGGAGACTAACGCGAGGGTTTGACCATGTCTACGTCTGCGTTGTCACCGTACGTGACGTAAGATATCACACACCCCGACTTGTTACGAAGTGGAAATAAACTCTACAATCAAAGAAAACCTACTGCTGTACAAGTACCTGTTCGAGATATAACCACCGCTGTCGAAGGGGATGGGTCGTTCGAGATATAACCACGGCTATCGAACGGGATGGGTCGTTCGAGATAGAACCACGTCTGTCGAACGGGAGTGGTCGTTCCAGATATAACCACGGCTGTCGAACGGAATGGGGTTTGAAGTCTTCTCAGTTTTCAGGGAATACTCCGCGACGGAAGAGGATGGACAAACCACAAACGATACATACGCATACATACGTTTTCGGAACGCTCTCGACGAGAAGTTGCCAACGCCGCCAGCTTCCGCACCGCCGCTCTTCCTGGTGAAGCGTGATGAAGCTGTGCAAATCGGTCTAGGGGGCACGGTATGTTCCGTCACCAACACGGTAAAAGTCTGTTTCACGTTGGTGTGATTGCCCCACATCTAGGCCTTATGGTACAACTGGTAGACGGCGGAAGGACGACAACTGACTGCTTTTTGAGCATGACAACAGCCAAACGATCCAAGAAAAAGCATACTCCGGAGTACACAGCAGTAGGGGGACCCTGCATAAGGCCGGTCGCCCGATATAAGGCCGGTGGAATCGCTTGGCACAGAAGATGGAACACTTCAAAGCGTCTCTACTTCTGAATGAAGAGTGCCGGGTGCCCGAAATTAAGAAATTAAGGCCGGTAAAATACTGCGGCACTTTACGACGCAAGATACTACACCCCCTGGACCGATTTTCAAAGCTCGATTACTGCACGACCAAGAGGATGTACTTGAAGAACAAACGACACGATACGTTTTCGGAGAGCTCTCGACCAGACGGCTTCAACGCCGCCGTTTTCGGCTCTGCGACCCGTTCTGCTGCTGATAAATCGAGCTTTGAAAATCGGTCCATGGGGTGTGTTATCTTGTGTCGTATACGGTAAATAGGCGGCCATGCATCGGCCCCCCTGGAAAGTCAACACAACGCACCCAGGAGCTCTATTCATCTGTCTATTCCCACAGGGACGTAAACAGACTTAAACGTCTTGAAAGGTCCTGTACGAGCCGCAGGTGTGTGCCACCGGCAGCGGCGGTTGTGCCATGTACTTTATTCTTGATGCTTTGAAGAAGCATTCTAATTTCCAGTAAGAACACAACAACCGCCAGGTGCCCCAAAATGACAGGTGACCCGTGACTGCTGTCCGCTGTAAAAAAAAAAAAGACGCTTTGCAGACAAGGCGGTAAAGATATCAGGTCAAGAGTTTGCCAAATGAATAATAGAACTAATATTGTAGATACAAGGCACACCGTCGGTCCTGCGTTGGCGTTGGAAGATAAGATGTACGCCCACAGAACAAGTCTCGTTCGGCGCAAGAAACTCACGCATCCATCTTGTTCTCAGCTATTAGTCTAGTCCAATAGCTTCCTTTCAGATTGGATGTACTACTGCTGTTATTGGACGCGGCAAATTTCGAATTGTTCAAAGCTTGTATCAACTTGTTCCAAGTCAAATGCATGCACAGCAGCAAAACGCCGACTTCTGGTGACCGGGCTGGAAAAAGGGATTTACAGCAGTTGCCAGAGCAGCGGGTGGTTGTGGTGCCGGAAATCAGAACACAAATCGGCCACCGGGTGTGCTGGACACAACGCCTGGTTTGGTTGGTACATGTAGCCACAAGTGGGTGGTGTTCTCGAAAACAGACAAGTGGTGTCATAACCGAGATCACACCTATTTAAAATTTCCGCGCAACTCGTACAACATGGTTGGACGGACGCTGTAGCATAGCGGTGGGAGGGCCGCAGAAGGAAACGATCCGGCGGTCGGTCGAGCAGGCGCAAAGAACGTGCTGCGGTATCTATTTGTATACAAGTGCTGCTGTAGTGCGGAGCCGCGTTGCTTCACGCCTAGGGTGAGACGCTTGGCTTTGCTCCGAGGTACCAAGGCAGGGCAACGGCGAGGCGGCGTCTACGGACCAGAGAGACGGGAGAGAAAGAACAAACCTTCGTATGCATAAGGGTCTGTTTGGTAGCGTACCTGCTGCACACCGTATGCATACGTATGCGAGCACTACCCAGCGTAGTCGAACAGATTTATTTTCTATGCGGATACATAAATAGATGTACGTATGCACACGGCAGACATGAATAGTTGTGTTTGCGACGAACACTCAGCGCCGCAGCACCACAAGGGGGAGCGGGTGTCGTGTTTGTTCGGACCCAAACGATGTCCACCAGCATCATATGTGGGTGGAGAGCAGAGGCAAGCCCGGATCCGTTGATCTGCTGATCTGCTGTCAGGGCGTCAGGGCCGCCGTGCTGAAAAGACACTCCGCGCCGGATAGAACCAGTAGAGCAACCAAGGACAGGAAGACGGTGGCAGCAGCAGCAGCAGCAGAAGCAGCAGCTGTTTGCGGCTCTACCCTTTCTTCCCCTGAGCCAAAGGCTCTCTAGACACGGAGCAAGGGGTAGCACCCTCCCTAGGTGGCACCACTAACCTACGGACGCGACAAAGGGTCTGTGCAAGTACGGAGCATCGCATCACGCCGACCGGTTCATGCTGATGATGATCTTCTACTGGAGTTCAGGCAACACACAACACACCCGGGAGAAAGAAGAAATACGAAGAAGAGAGGAAAGAACGGTGGGAAGCTGCTCTGTCTGTCTTGAGTATGGAAACCAGCGGCAAGGACGGACGGCGGGAAACCCGCGCCTCTACTGCCGTGTCACCGGTGGAGTGCTCCTTACGCTAAGGGAGCCCGCTCGCCACACACAGCACACCCACACATACCTGCTGTCCGGCACGCCGTGAGCGAGGAAAAGACGCCGGCCCCACGGGAAAAAAATGCCGCTTATTAGTCTAGCGGGAGAGCAGAGCCAGCGGCGAGGGGGCACACAGGAAGACGCCGCGCCTCTGCTCGGCTGCAGCTTCTCCAAACGCGCTGATCCCACCAGCTAGCTCTCTAGCTCTCTCTCTCTCTCTCTCTCTCTCCTGTCGAGTGGGGCTCCTGCCTGCGCCGAACAACACAGTAGTCTGTCTCTTGGATGCTGCGGGCTGTGATGACTGTAATTTGTGGTTGATTCATTGGTTGATTGTGATTCTTTTGTACACACAAAAAATCGCTTCCGTCAGGGAAGACGGGTTCTTGGGAAACCCCAGGTTTTAAAAAAACGGTTCTGCCGTGGGTTCTGGGATGTGCTCGCTGGCTCTCCTCCGCTCTGCCGCTGGTTGTTGGCACAGCGTTCATCTTAAGGCCCGTTGGGCACCGAAGAGTCGAGCAGAAGCGAGTAGGAAACGACAGCTCGAGGTGTTCTTTTATTTTCGTGAGATACAGCAGTATCGATAGCAGCAAGCAGCAGCCTTTTTTTTTTTTTACTTGTATCGAGTGTGTCATCAAAGATCCAACTAAGTGAGGTTCGTCCATGACTGACTGCTGACTGCTGTTTTTACCGTTTCGCACGGTGGTCAAAAGTCAAAGACTCTCGTTTCTCTGATGCTGTTCGGGCCATCTATTGTGTTTATCTGGCGCGATAGCTCGACCTTTGCTCCAGTTACAGTTTTCGCGCTTGCCTGGCCGGCGAGTCACGACAAAATTTCGACTGAGGTTATATCTCGAACGGGTACAACAGCAGTCTTTCTGTGATATGGTGAGGTTATGTTTACTTCCTAAAAAACAAGCAAGCGATAATATGCGAAAAAAAGCCAACCAGAACTTACTTCTTATCCTGCTGCCACTAACTTCGGGCGTGGGCGCTCGTGGTCGAAGCTCGTTTTTTTATGTGTACACCGCCGTGGTGATTGGCGAGCACCACAACCGCCCCTCATTATTATTCTGCTTCAGTCGCGGGTGGACCACAGCAGTAATAATACGTTTCCTTCTCCCTGCAGTCTGTCCCTTTTCTTTCTCCTCTCCCATTTCAATGCCTTGGTCAAACTTTGTTTTCATTATTTACTTGCCGCCCTCTTCATTCAGCGGGGGGTTGACCGAATACGACTGCACGTAGTGTGCCCCCGTCCATCCAGGAAACAAAACCAGGAAGGAGCCCTTATGAAGACATCGACTCCCTCCGAGCCGAGACGTCACGAGCACCATATTGTTTCCAACACGCGGCCCATCCATCTTGTTGCGCGTTGTAAATCGTGTATACGTCACGGCGCACAGCGCACAGCAGCAGCAGCAGCAGTGCGGTACAGTCAATTCGAAACAGCACGCAGTTCTCACAAAACTCCCTCCCGTGATCCTCTCCTCAAAGGACTACCGCTACCCAGTGTCCCACGAAGCAACCCTGCAGACAGCAGTTTTTTTGCTCGTTCGTGAAAAAAACGCTCCAATAATATAAGCACAGCTTCCAAACGCTCCACGGACACACACGACGTTTGTTTGTTGTGCCTGTAGCTGAAAAAAAGTCGGCTCACCGAAACACCCAACCAACATGAGACAAGACCGAAACGGCCGACATCGAGCCACCAACACCACGCTTGTTTGCACGTACATGTATTGTAGTAGATGCTCAACCACCCACAACAAGAGCCGTATCTCGTACCTGCGGAACACGAGTCTGCGCCGCCCCGCAGCCCTGTCTACCGCTCGCTTCACAGATAGTCGGAGCCAAAACACTGCTTTCCACCCGAGCGAGCATGCACACTTCCACCAAACAACTCCAATACCCCAACATTATCTGGAGGTGTGCTCCTGGCCCACCCACCCCCGTCAGTGGCCACGCACGGCAAGAAGTACCAAACTTCCGAATTTACGACCTCTTGGGGACAACGGCCTCTTTCGAGGAACAAACATGGTAATAAAATACAAAATACGACAAAAGAGGGCCTATCCGTCAAAACCACCATCGAGAACAAGAAAACACCAAGAGAAGCACGACCAGACCACCGAACTTAAAGCCGCGACGCTAACGCACTCCACCGCCAATTACGTCCGACAATCACTACACACCTCTGACGGTCAACTTCAGCGGCAGCTGAAGGATTTCATGTATACCATCGACATGATCAATCTCACACGCTACAAAAACACCACCACCCAAACAAGCATTACTACAACAACTAAACCAAACCACGCGTGTGCTGTGAATCGTCATTTGAGACGAGAGCCCTCACGCCCCCCGACCATTCGTTCTCCTACACGATGTCGGCGCGAACTAACGTGTACCGTAGACCTCAACGCGGCGTAAAACAGAGACCGACATCCACAATATCTATCCCAAGACCTGTCCATCATTGAGTTCTTATCTTACCCACCCTCCTCCTCTCGTGCAACTGCTTCGAGCACTGCCCACCTTCCAGCTAACTTTCAAGGTGCTGACGGAAGACCCACCCGCTCTCTGTGGTACCTCTCACTTAGCACTACACGGACACACGGGTTCGCCTAATTTTATCATCCCAGCAATCCGTCCCAAAAAAAAAAAACACAACTCCAAGTTCGCCTAACCTTTATCCCAGCAGTGTACGTCATAGCAATAGTAAATCCACAACAGGCAACGCTCCCCCTACCAGAACGCCTATAACAAACGGCGTCCCACGACGAGCTCGTGAAATCGTGAAATGAGACTTCCATGAAGCGCAAACAAAAAAATAAACGTGGAATGGTTCAAGACTACTTACTTCCGCGCTGCCCGCCTGCGAAATCGTGTGGAGAGATCCGCCCACCTGTGTAAACACCGGGCAATATAGACAGCACCCAGCCACTATGCGATGTAGGTGGCCAGCACGCTGGTGAGAGCGATGAATATGAGGATGTAGCAGAATTTCTGGTGGTAAGCAGAGGGCAGGGACACCCACCCCGGCCACCAGAGCTTCACCATCGGCCAGATGGAGTACATGACCACGATGCAGGCGCCGAACGATGCCAGGAAGATCCAGATGCCATCCTCGTCGAACGACCTGATTGTGATTGGTGGTGGACGAAAAACGACAGGCGACGAGCGGAGTGGTCAGGATAGCAGTCGGCGTTGTTTGGCCTCCACGAGCAAAATATGCCACGGACACAAGGCGATCGCAGAGTTATCGAGTTGCAACGAAAACACCATATCAAGGTCGCAGGATGACGACAGTGATAGTAGTGGCATCCAAAGGAGTCGAGAGCCTCTTTTCCGAGTGTAAGTTGAACCGCCAAAGAGCACAAGAACAAAACGGTCTGCATCGTCATCGACAGATGAAAATCAAATCGAATCCAATCGAATCGAATCACGGGCACGCACGACAGTGCACACCGCAGGATACCACCGTTGTTCCACGTCCAGAAAAAAGCCCGCAGTACACTGCACACAGAGAAAAACAAGCAACAGCTCGACAACATCACATCTAAAAGGCCCAACGATCAGACAGACAGACACACACACTGACGTCTTTTCATTGGTCAGCCGGTTAGCGCGGACGATGCCACTAATAAAAACACACACCAGTACCAGTTTCACACGTACGCAAACTCAATGAAGGCGAAGACGACGACTCGACTCACAAGTAGAAGGCCCAGTAGACGGTGGTGTTGATGGCGCTCACGATGAGGAGGCCGAACAAAAGCCCGAGGGGCCACACGGGGCACACCAGGTTCCACGCGTTGTCCGGGTTGGCGCACGTGATGCGATTCCAGACGCCCAGCGCGAACGCCCAGATCTGTGCACGCGCGAGAGAGAGACAGAGACAGAGAGAGAACAAGAAAGACACGACGAGAGAGAGAGAGGGGCAAGGGCAGTAGGGTGAGAGACCCGGTGCGCGTACAGCAGCCTTTTCGTTCCATGAGGGAGGGGCAGCACGACATCATCAGCATCTCTCGCTCCGTGTGCTGAAAAGCACAGCTGATGATCGAAAGCACGCACGACCTGTCAGAACGGTTACTCCAGAAGCGTTGCATCCGGAACGACTTGAATGTCGCATTCCAACAAAGAACCAAACCAACACCAGCCACGCGCATCGAGACAAAAACCGTAGCACACAGGGGGGGCACAGGCAGGGGAAAGGGGGCGCGCTACTCCGACCGCCACGGCGAACTCAACCAAACACCCAAGAGAAACCCCAACGCACCTGCACGTAGCACGTGGACAACCAGAACTGCTCGTCCGTCAGCACCCTGTTGGGGTTCACGTTCTTCCACCCCACCGCTAAGATGGTCGGGATGGTGGCGGTGATGATGTACGGGAAGAAGAAGTAGACGAACTCCAGGTCGACCGTGTTGAACGGCGTCTCTTGGAAGATGCTGAACATGATGGGCCTGATGGGACGACAAGGACGGATGCATGTATGTGCGATTTTTGCAGGCCCGTGCGGTGAAAGACGGAAAGGAGGGAGAGGGAGGTCAGCCCGACCTCAGGTGATCTCGCCGTGTGCGTGGGAGAGGGAAGACAGCACGACCTCGGGGAGTCTCTCTCGCCGTGTGTGTGCATAAGGTAGCAACTAGGCACCTAACAGCGGCACAACAACGGCACCGCCCACGGCTCCCTACATCGGCATGTGCACATCAAAGGGAGAGGAACAACAGTGCATGCTCGTGACTCTCTCGCAGACAGGGGGGGGGGTACGCAACCGACAAAAAGCAAGCCTACGCTACACCCCTGCGTTGTAGGCTCGAGGGCTCTCTTCGCATCAAACCGAAACGCGCAAATGGTATCAGTGCAAGCTGTCCCGGACACCGCGCGCTATTCTTGGTCTCACATGAGGATGATGAAGAAGCCGCCGACGGCCTGGATGTAGTACGTCAGGGAGTCGAGGCCGAACATCTTGTGCAGGGGGGTGGGCATCCTCGAGGTGCACAGGAAACCGACGCCGTCCTTCAGCAGCAGCTGCACCGCGCCGATGTGCCAGCGGAACACCTGTTGTATGGCGGTCGTTTTTTTATTGTTCCGGTCGGGGGAGTTCGCGAATTGTTGGGACAGGAATTAGACAAAAATTAAGAGAACAAAATAGTGGTCATTGTTGTACTGCACAGCACAACTGTAACAGCAGCTGCAGCATGCGGCGGTGTAATCAAGTGTACCGACGGAAACCAACCTACGTACGATGGAGAAAACAGCCGCAAAGGTCAAGGCTCTAGGATCGTTCCACGAGACGTTCCAACCGGGCACTGAAAACATCCGCAAGACGTGAACCACGCACGCCGCACAACCACAGGTGGTCAACCAGCAATAAAACTAATGCGGGACCCCTGTCAACCGCCCTACAACCCTCGCCCGAATCCCCGGGCCGACGAAAACCCGGTGTATCGCTCCGTCCCTGCAAATCGCAGGGATGCAAGGTCAACGTTCTAACGACTGTGGCACATGCACGGCTATGAGCACACACCCCGTCCAGGCGCCCTGCCCTGACCGCACCTGCTTGACTCTCCAGGCGACGGTGTTGGGCTGCTCGACGCAAACCGCGAGCGTCTCCCCGGCCTCGCACACGTAGGCCGACCGCCACTGCTGCTTGAAGAACTCGAGGGACGTGTGGGTGTCCTCGATCAGCACCTCCGCGCGGAAGCCGCAGTCGTGCCCGACGATGTCGGGCTTGGCCACGCTGTCCACCACCTGCTTGCCGTCCGCCGCCATGCCGCGGAGGGCGTCCACGCGCCAGAGGCTACCCTGCCCGCAGGAGGTCACGCCCCCGACGCCGTCCTTGCTGACGTTGGAGACGAAGAACCTGTGTACGCGTGGTGGTGTTTTGTTTGGGCCATGGGCAGGGGAACAATAAGGGGGGGGGGGTCGAACACGATGGACACCTGCAACTGTTTTGTGTTGGAGTACATTTTACATGTGTTGCGGGCCACGAATCGGCAGCGGGTGGGGGAGGAGAGGCACTCAGGAAGAGGCAGCGGGTGGCAGCAATGCGCTCAGGTTCTACGTGGAGTAGGACCGCGAGAAGCGGTGCCTTATGAAGGGGTGGCGGCGCAGGGGTATGAGAACACGTGACGTGCAAACCAACAAGGACAAACTCATCTCTCTCCTCTCTTTCTCTCCCACACACGCAAACTTGTTCTGTGTGTGCATTCGTCGTTCTTATAGCGGTATGTCCGCCTGTCTCTCCCCCTCTCCAAAACCTCCAAAATATCCTGTGAGCATGGTCTTTTGTCTCATTCTGTCCTTGTCCGCGTGTGTTTATCTTCCCCCCCCCCCCCCCCCCCCA